ATAGTTTTTAATTTGACGGTTGGTACGATGGAAAACATTTGAATTGACGGTCGTTGTCATGTTCTCGTATTTATTTTTATAACCATTTTCTTTATATTTCTTTCGGTTTTTTCGATATAATAATATGTAGTTAATGTGCTATTCGGATCGAAGTCTGAGTTGAATCCAACAAATCAAAGATCATGAAAATCGTTCCAGCCGTTCTTGAGTTATAATTGGTGTAACGTACACGACTTTGTTTTACTTTGTTAGATCTTGACAACACGATGTGCAATTCTTTTTATCTTATGATCTTAAGAAAACATGCTTCATATTTAACCAACTCGTAGCTGCAATAACAAGCGATAGTGCCGACTTCACATTGAATACATTGTATAGGTTCCAAATTAATTTCCTTCTGGATGATGCCCAAACTTGAGCAAAATCATTAGACATCACCAATTTCGTCGGGCGTGCGAGAACTCTACTGCTACTTTGCTGCACCAGTAACTAAATTTTGTGCTCTTTCTATCTTGCTGTCTTTTTGGTTCAATTGGTAGAGCAAAATTTTTGTATTTATCTACCAATTTCGCTGGGAAAAGCGCAAACATGTATTTAAGGAAAATAAAATTCTGCTCATGAACGAATCTAAAATGCTCTACAGCATCCTCACTCACGTAGCTCTATCATTTTGCATGTTACAAAACAACGTACCAGCCGAGTGGTATTATCGTATTCTTTGTGCGTGAGCCAATAACAAAAGCAAACAAGTGACCAAAGAATGGATTTATTATTATTTTTGAAAGAAGTCTCTCGAATTTCCACAATGGGCTCTTGAAGTAGGTACTTTGAATTCATACCGTAAGTTGGTTCATTGAACCGAAACTCACTATTCTATTAATAATCGCATTTAGAGTATTGCTCCAATTTCGCCATATGCAGTACCTCAACTTCTTGTTGTAAAGGTTAGCTTTTAAAATGGCGTCTCCATGTGCTTACTCCCTCTAAAACATTTAGCCCAAGAAAAACTGTGATCTATTAATACTAGACAGCTGCTTTAAGTAATCTAGAACATCACTATGTTTTTTGTCCAAGGATTAATTTTGTCCACAAATATGAATATAGGTATTTTTGAAAACTGATCTAATTATGTACTTGCTCGAATCGTTGTATATCCGGTATAGTTTATGTATTTAGGACTTGAATATTTCGAAGTTCGAAATCGTGCCAAAAAAGTTTGATTAAAACGCTATCGCTATCATCTTAAACTGTTAAGTAGTAGGTCTGCCCCTTAGAAACACGGGTACAAGGAAATTTTGGATCTATGCCCATTATTATTTCTGTTTTTGGATTACAATACCAAGAACAGTAGCTCTGTACGTTGACTTCAAAAAAGCATACCTAGTGATTGGAAATTTGCCACCTTTTTTATGTCATCGACAAAAATTGCGATTTTTTGGAAGAAAATGTCGTTGCGCTTACTTAGGCATGTTTCAGTTTTGGTAAATTTTTAGTTGGAATAATATGAAAATTATATTTATAAAGAAATTGGGTAGAGAATACAAAATACCAACAAACCAGTTGATACGTGAGAATGTTAGTGCAAATACAATGTATGAGATAAACAGTACAAAGTCCACTTCGTGTCCCCGCTAGCGGTACTCAACATGTTTCCGGACACATTTTAACCAATCTGTTCGATATACCTGAAATTTTCCTGCACTCCATTCGCGCAGATAAATCCGGGTTATCGCACGGGAAAAGTTTCAAATGGAAAATTCGGAAAATAAGCCGTAATCGACCGAATTGTCGCAAAAACAGTTTGAGTACAACTGCTTGTGGTTACGTTACGTCCAAAGTCCACCGTGATCACGAACCGTTGACTGTATTTCCTAATTAAAATGCTAAACATCTATTGCCAGACCAGTGTTTCCCTCCGTGAGAGGTGGACTTTGGACTTTGCGCCTAAGGTGTAATGCTATTATTACTAACCCGCAACTTAATTATAGCCGTAGAGCGCTTCTCTCTTAAGTAGAGAATGTAGGAGATTTCGAGCGAAGTGGGTGGCTCTGATCAAAGTCCAATTGGTTTTGAATCATAAAAAAACTCTAACTTGTCGTTAGGTAATAATCCCGTTTATTATTATATCCTTGTTTGATCGATGAATTATCTCTGTCATTTATATTTAGACAAATTTAACTGAGATGTAGGTGAAGGATATTTATTATTTTTTTCTCAACTAGGTACACGTTTGTTGTGTCACGTTCGCCATCGTTCCAGATTAATTATATTTCGAAGAACGAAAATACTATCCTCGGAAAAACTTTCAAACCTCTTTGTGTGACAACAAAGGGTATGGTCATAATTTGTATTTTTGTGACATTGTCTGAATAGTCGCCAAAGGGACTGCGTTCCATACTACATTACAAGTAGGTACTTTTGCGATACTTTTTAGGTGGATTGAAAAGTATTGGTTTCGGATTTACGGGTTTCTCGTCGAAATATACAACAAAAAATCCGAAATTTTAATACCACCTTATGTCACATTTGACTAGGGAATTTCGAATGTCATTTCTGATTTTGCAAAAATTCCTACTACAAGTTGGCAATGGAAATAGTGATATTTTTAACAAGAAAATCACAAAATCAAAAAATGCCGCATAATTTCACAAAATTCTGGCCGTTTTTGAGGTTCGAGCAGCTGGAATTTTCTTCAAATCTTTGAGAGATCAGATTTTTTCGAATCGCAGTTCAGGGGTGGATAATTTGTGTCCTAGGAACTGTTCGAGATAATAGGATCACCTCAATATCTAATACACGAGGGTTATCCAGAAAGTAGCAGACGTTTTGAAATAAACAATTTTAAACGTGTAAAGAACATCTCTTATTTTATACATTTGGGAGCTACACTCTTGGGCTATTTATCAAACACAAGCGCCATTCAAATTGAGGCACTTATGCCCGTTTGCACCGACAAATTTAAGCATAGCTTAAAATCCATGGCAACGATTATTGAGACATTGGGCCGTATGAATAAAAGGAAGCAAATGTTTATACTTGCAAAATTCAAAGTAAATACTCGTAAGTGCTCCTTCGCACTGGGCGACTTAGCAGAAGGACAGGACGCAGTGCAGCGCTGCTAAACCATGCTAAACAGACCAGTATGAAGGGGCAGTTACGAGTATTTACTTTGAATTTTGCAAGTATAAGCTTTTGCTTACTTTTATTCATACGTCCCAATGGCTACCATGGATTTTAAGCTGCGCCTAAGCTATGCTCCACTTAAATTTGTTGGTGCAAACGGCCATATTAGCCACTTATCATAGCGTGGCCCAAGTGTTTTGATTCCAACTTTTATAAATCCGCCGCCTGAGATTTTAACCTGCACTGGGTAACGCTGACTTGAAGTTATTCGCCCCTATCCAATCGCTGGGTTACGAGCCGGGTCTTCATCGCTGGGAAGAGGTGGAAGTTTTGTTGTTCGACGACAACGCCCGCCCGTACACAGTCAACCGTACTGGACAGCTCTTGGATGATTTTGGATGGGAGAAAGGATCATCCTCAATACAGCTCGGATCTAGCGCCAAGCGACTTCCACCTCTTCCCAGCGATGGAAACCTCGCTCGCAACACAGCAGCAGCATATGGACAGTGATGCCGAACTTCAAACTCGCGATAACCAGTGGTTAAAGTCTCAGGCGGCGGATGTATACACAGTTGAAATCAAAACACTTGTACCACGCTATGATAAGCGCCTCAATATGAATGGTGACTATGTTGAAAAATAAAAAATGCGTGATACGATTTCCCCGTGTAACATAACATACCGCGCATCCTGACAGCACATGGCATGCTAGATTTCATAAGTTTTCTAAATATTGAATCACCAATCACGAATTTTTGTATTTGTTTTGTGTATCAACTATATTTATTTATTTTATTTATTTATTATCCCTCTCTTGTTTGTTGTCGTACAGCAAATTGATGCCTGTGTTCAAAGATCTTTAAAAAAAACGTAGGCATTGCATTTGAAAAAACAAAAATTGTGTCGATTTCCGGTTTAACCGGAATTGATACGCGACATTTCAATATGCCATCGGATAGATCGTGATGTCACAAATAAAATTTGGGCATTTTTTCGAATTTCGCCCAATAAAAGAAATATTGAGGTGCGCAATGTCAACTTTCTTATTTATTGAGATATTTCTTTGAAATTTTAACCATAGACCTTGGTAAAAAAGACATAACCATAGCCTTTTGAGAAGTGTAGAATGCAAAAAAGTCTATCTGACTAGTCAATGGGAAAATGGCAAAACATCGATGTAATATCTTGAAAACTTTCCACTTGACCAGTTTGATCTGTCTCAAATAGTAACGTAGCAATCGCGCGATTTCCAAAAGTGGTACTACTCGTCTTTGCAAGATATCTCGCCTATTTTTAAAAATATCGAAGAAACAGCAAACTAGAAATTTATAAATTACGTTTCTAACATTTTCATATATTACACGATTTTCGAGTTATAACTCAGGCTTGTTAAAAGGGGACAAGTATCTTTTGTAATACCTCGTAAATTAAAAAAAACCGATCAGCCTCTTGAACAAAAAACCCAAAATGGCACTCAACGTCGCTACAAAAGTACAAAACAAACATAATATACCAAAACAAGACACAGGAAGCGGGCCATATAAAGTTGAAATGTGGACTGTACTAATTTGTTATACCTAGAAATAACTTTAAAAACAAGTCATTTGGCTTAATGAGATAATGGCCATAATAGTTTAAAAAACTAAATACTTTTTTGTCCTATAATTTACCAGTAATTTCTCGACGTACAGTATGTAACTTTGTTGCAGAAACAAAAAATGTGATGGCATGCAACTAGCAATTTTATTATACACATTATATAATCACCAAAAACACAATTGAATTACAAATTCCGTTACATCGCCCCCTTCTTGATTTTAATTCAACTTAAAAAGTGTTGGCTTGATCTCACTAACTTTTGTTAATGTTTGTTTCAGGTTTGCGAACATCTGGGCATTTCCAATGAGTCCGACTATTTCGGTCTAAAATATGAAAGTAGTAAAGGGGAGGAGTTGTGGTTAAATTTAAGAAATCCAATACATCGTCAAGTTGGCTGTCACGGTCATACATCGCCTCTTCGTTTCGCTTTACGCGTGAAGTTTTGGGTACCGCCACACTTGCTGTTGCAAGAGACAACTAGGTAAGTTTCCTAAGATTTTCCCCAATGTTATTGTTAACAGAACGTATTGTTACAGGCACATGTTTTATCTTCACGCGAAATTAGATTTAATTGAAAAGCGTCTTTTAGTACCAAATTGGAGTGTGGTTGCCAAGCTAATTGCCTTAATCGCTCAAGCCGAATCCGGAGATTATAATCCGCTACAGCCACCACATCATTTATACATGCAACTTTCATCCATTTCCTCAACAGAAGTCGTGCAAAAACCTCAGGATTTGTTACAAATGGTGATCAGCGAACATGAGAAACGCGAAGGTATGAAACCGGCCACCGCCCAGTATTGGTTGCTAAACGAGGTTGCCGCCCTCGACAACTTTGGTGAAGAAGTTTTTACTTCCAAATCGAATATGGGCGTCGTCATCGGCGTCGGTCCCAACGGTATTACTATGTACAATAGAAACGAAGAAAAAGAAAGTATTCCATTTACCGCAATTCAGAGTGCCACGTCGCACAATCGTTGTTTCAAGCTTGGTTATCTATCGGTGGATAATGTAGAAGCTCATTTAGAAATTAAATTAGATTCTAGTCAGACGGCGAACGGATTATATCGCGCTATAACCGAAAAGCATGCATTTTACAGCTGCGAAACCGTTGGCAGTGCAGTAACGGCGCAATTTATAAGGGATCTTAAAGGGACCATAGTTTCTATTTTTAATGAAGATTCTACACTCGGTAAAAAATATGTATTTGATATAAGAAGGACATGCAGGGAGGTCTACGATAACGCGAGGAGGGCGCTATATCAAGAGTCAAAAATGTTTCAAGATATAATCGATGGTCAAAAGCCAGAGTGTTATGAGGAGAGTCGACGAGGGGTATGTATCTTTCTAAAACATCTACCCATATTTTATTTAAATCTAAAATTTTCAAAATTAAAAAATAAAAGTTTCAAATCATATTCACTATATCAAACTTACTTTGCGCATGCGCAAGAACAATTCATATACACTGTTGGTGCAGAAAGTATGTATAATAAACAGAAAAATGACAGATTTGAATGGGTTTGGTAACAAATGAATGCTTGTTCATTTTGTTTTGATAGGCATTGTTAAAAATTGCTATGCGCAGGCACAAACACACATTTCAAATAAGATATATCAATTATATTTAGGTGTGGCCTTAATGACGTCAGCTTCATATTTAGCATAACAAACAAGTTGTGATTTGATTTGAAAAATAAAAACAGTAATGGTAAACTCATACTATAAATATCAATTTTGCTTATGTAATTTTCTTTACAGAGTTCTCACGAACGGTTAACAAAAATCATGGACGCCATGACTTGCAAAATTTGTATGGATCTACAGATCGACACCGCATTTCTTCCCTGTGCGCACGTTGTCGCGTGCTCATCGTGTGCTGCTCGTTGTGAAAGGTGCCCGGTGTGTCGTGCGGATATAACGCAACCACAAAGAATTTATTTACCGGAGGAATTTAATGAACCGATTTCTTAAATGCACTACGTACTTTGTGCTTAAACTATACTGAAAGTGTGAAGTTCTATTTGTGATAATACGTTTTAGTTTTGAATGCAAATTAATTTGACGAACAAAGACTCATTAATGTTAAGTTGCATTTTCATTCTTTCCTAGAACAGCGAGCTCGTTTATTTACATTTTTCTCAACATATCAAGTTAATTAGCTGATGGCGACGACAGCATTAGCTGTTCTGGAATGAAGCGCAAAATGTTTTGATCTCTGCCTTAGTTTTGTTTCATTGTTTGTTGTTAATTTAGTCACACAAATTTATTTTCGATCTCACATTGAGGTTTCTTTATGTATTTACCATGTAAAATTGAATAATGTTTTATTGAAAAACAAGATTACTTATACCTATTTTTAGCCTACTAATACAAAAACTTTGACAATAGCATATTAATGTAATGGCATGCCAAATATCAATATTTTTTTTATTCTATACCCAGCGTAAGAACATGGCAAAAGTCTAATTCATAAAACCAAAAATGGTTTAAACAACTGGGAAATTTACAAGAAATTAGATTTTTGTCATTGTTTCATTAGCAATGCAATTTTAGTATTAGAATAGTTGACACAATATTGTATAAGATTATATTATGCTATACCACTATCTCGGATTTTAGCATGTTCTATACCTACTTACCAACATCTAATGGATAGTAAAAACTTTAACTTGTGATATGTTACATCAAATATTGATGTTATTTATGTATAAATAGCCTTAGAGCTTTCTATTTTTTAGTTACAAACCTTATAGTGAACGTCTGAAGAATTGTGGAGATACAAAAAGTATTTTCAGGTATTTTTGTTAGTATTACATCTATTTTATTAATCTAACTACATATTTGTCGTAATTAAACAATGCAACACTATCTGTTTTTGTGCTTTGCTAAAACCCCTTCTTGATCAATGAGATGGAAAACCTTGTTACCTACAATTAATAACCGTAAAACTAACTGGGTTACAATTTTCGGGGGGGATGTTATATGTTTTCTTAATATTTGCAGTTTAGATTTGGGCTTGTGGATAATTTCTGTCAAAATAAATCTGCAAAACTAAATTTATTTTACTTATCATTCAACGCCTGTAGTAAAAGGTGCTTATTTCTACCTATCAAGCTGGGTCACTAAGCACGCAATTTACTATTGTAAACATTAGTTACGGGGGTAAACATAGCACAGGGCGCTAAAAACTGCCCGGGGCCTGGAAACCAGCCCACAGTTGGTCACACCCGGGGAGAATGGAAGGCTCTGCTTCGAGAAGCTTTTCCTGCCAAGCAAAACTCAGTGTGAAGATACGGGATGCCGTGATTCAGATTAACACTGAGACCTCTGGTGGCAGCACATTGTGACAGCCTCGAATTCTTAAGAAAAAGGCCTTTCAGGTAGGATAGGATTAAGGGGTTATATTTTAAAGTCTTACAAACGGCAGGATAAATTCAATTCATTTTCCAATTAGTACAATTTCACTTAAAAACCAGTTAGAATAAACCCAATAATATTTACCAACCGGCGCAAATACGCGTATTTGTAAATTACATCAGCGCCTCTAGTGTTAATCTGAATCGCGAATTCCTTTTTGATTATTTTTCAACGAAAATCAAAACTTAGGTACATTTCAGCTACCTATCTCACAACATAATGTATTAACAAAAGGTATAAGGGTAATCGTAAGAGAGAAACTCTTTCTTCAAACTTTTCATGTTGTTCCGTAAATGATAAATTGAGGTGTCGTGCGAACATCTGTACTATCCGCATTGTATAGTAAATATTATACATATATATATATATCATTATCCGATTGTACCGTAGAAGGAAAACCGTTTTGGTACCACAAATTGATGTTGTTTAGTGTTCACTGGTTCGCCAACTGTCAAACCTAAATATTTTTTCTTCTTGACAACGTGCTTTTTAGGTTAAAGTCGTAATTATGGTAAATATTAATTTCTTGAAAAATAAATTTGCAACGTTTATTTATTTTTAGCCTAAGAATAAAAAGAAATTCATTGACCGTAAGAATGCGGTCACTTTCCATCTAGTGCACAGAAGTCAACAGGATCCTTTGGCAGCAGACGAATCTGCCCCGCAACATGTTTTGATCCCACTACACAAGAAAACGAATAATAAAGTAACGTAACCTATTGCGATTTGGTCGTTTAAAAATGTTTGTCAATAGGGCCCCACAAAGCGCAAAGAAGAGCAGGAAAAGTACGGAATTTTTTATGATGATGACTATAATTACTTGCAACATTTACGAGATGTTAATTCGACGGCTGAATGGGTACCTGAGCAGTCTGGCACAGATGCAAAAGCTATTGCAAAACCTAAATTACAACTACCAAGTTCAGTATTCGCATCTACCGTTGAAGAAAAGGTTGGTCTCCTCAATAAGGCTGCACCACATCGAGGTAAGTTACTTTGCTGTTTACATTGTAATATCACTTCTATTAGGGCCCAGACCTGATTTGGACCCAGACGTAGTGGCCGCTATGGATGAAGATTTTGATTATGATGATCCGGAAAATGAATTGGAAGATAATTTTATAGAACTCGCTAATGCTGAAGTGGATGAAGATGTAGAATCTGATGTTGATTCTGATTTTGATTCGGAAGCCCTAGATGCAGTAAACTCATTAGAGGATCGTGAGTATACTTTCAGAGATGAAGAGACCAAATCACGATTTACTGAATACTCAATGAGTAGTTCTGTAATGAGACGAAATGATCAGTTAACACTACTAGATGATAAATTTGAGCAGGTTGCACCCGTATATATATAATTAATGGTTTTACTAGATTAGGTAGTTTTAGTTGTATGCGACTTACGATGATACCGAAATTGGGGCTTTGGATTTAGATGAGATTGAGGGACACATACCTGATGCTACAGACCTTTTGTTACGTTATGCTGATGAATATAGAAAAAGGAAAGAGCAGGAAAATCTATACAAGGAAGATGGTAAAGTAATTTATAAGCCAAACGAAGAATCCGATCTTGAAAATGAAGAAGAATTAGTCAAAATTTGTGTTCCTGAAAGGGAAAAGTGGGATTGCGAATCAATATTAAGCACATATTCCAATATTTACAATCATCCTAAGCTAATTAAAGACCCTAAGGTGAGTACTTACAACTTGTTAACCTTCGTTATATTTTACAAATTTCTAGCCAACAAAGATCAAAGTGAACATGAGAACTGGTATTCCAGTAGACATCCTAAACTCCAGTAAACTTACATCAAAAGCTCTATCCCAATTAAATGAAGACTATAACAGAACTCACAATGGACCCACGTCAGTTGCTGCCAAATCAATAATTTCGACATTATCCACACTTTCAATTCGTCCTCCTGATGAAACCTTAGAAGAGAAGAGGGAAAGGAAAAGGTTATTGAGAGAGTACAGGAAGGAGAGAAGATGTGAAAAGAAAATTAACAGTGAGGCATTTAAAGACGAACATAAGAGGCAGATTAAGATTACTATTAATAATAGGAATAATGTACAGGGCAATAAAATATTGTAATGACAGATTTTTAATGATTATGATCAATCCACCTACAAGTCTGAAAATTTAGAAGATCCATGGCTGGGTTTATCGATTGTATCTGAAAGGGTGGTGTCTAGATGAATACAATAGGTTCTAAATACAAATTCAATTAGATTTTAACATAGGATTGTTTATTCTATCAGTACCTTCCAAATTGGGTCAGCACTATTGCTAACTTTCCTAGTTGTATGAGTTAGGAAGACCGTTCAATTAACAAAGGTGTATTTTCCACGGAATCCCAATCTTTAATTAAAAAAACAAAATAACGTCGCATGTTTCAGATAACAAAAAAGTGACATCAGACACCCTGTATAGTCTTTGATTATATCTACGAGTAAGATTATATACATCATATGACAGCTTCAAAGTTTCATATCCAAAATCATAGACATAGGTCCAAAATACTTCAAATAACCACAGATAAACATAACTGAAATAATTAAGATTTAATAAAATCACTATATAGGGTGTTCCTATAGGGTGTTCCTATGTCACATTTTTATTATCTGAAAATGCGATGTTGTTTTGTACCAAGTATCGTTTGTCTATCACATTCGTAATTTTAACCGCCTTTTATCGTACATAAGGTCCCTTAAGTAGATCAGAAAACATGAAATAGACCCAAGGTTATGAATCCACCACCATCCAATTACTACTTTCTGAAGTATAACATTCGGCCATTCTTATGTGACGTGTTACTAGTTGCAAAGTGTTCATTTTTGAATGTATGCTATATCGCTTTGTCGCACCAATACATGTCTCCTTGGTTCGTCAGCTTGCGTCTAACCTGCTCCAAAAAAAACTGAGCTCAATATTTTCGGTGCGTATGGTTCTACCATTTTCATCCTTTGCTCATTTTATTTATATTTTTCAAAAAAATAATCTTGCTCATTTGCTCTTTTCATCAGTATTATTTCATCGAGAGCATGGAAGCCTCTTCCAGCTTATGATCTTACACACATAGATGTATCAAATCTCGAAAATTGCCAGTGTGCTTTGTGCAAGTATAAACCAAAATTTAATTTTTCTGGTTTTATGGTGCTTTGGTTATTTCAAGACTAACTTGAATTTAGAAACGAAGTTGAAATAAATTGTAAAGAAAATGGTAGAATTGATGTATCTGTAGGACATAACTTTTGATCCTACCTGTACATACGAGCGACCATATTGAAATAAAAAATAAAAATTTTTATATTTAATTAGAAAAGACAAAACCATCGTGACAATTCTTACAAACTATTAAAATTCATAGATGAACATAAAATAAGACAAAAATTTGATATAACTGAAAAAATATTAAAAATACAATTACTCGCATCACTAAACAAAAAAGATATTTATAATTATCATTTAAATCAATCTTAATAGCAAAACTTACCCTAAAATTTATAGGCATCCTTCGTACTAAATATTTGAATCCTGAAAACGTAATAGTATTATGTATTTCATGTAACAATTTACTCACAAACTATTTTTAAATTACGTACTTATGGAATGATTCTGTCTACAAACATATACAAAATATTTCTTTATTTCCATTAACTTGACAGAATTCTTATTGAGATTTATGTACGAAATACAAGGCTTTATACAAATTTAATCCAAAAATTATATCAGCAGCAGAATAAACACGTAAACCACTGAAGAGATGAAATTTATTTTTCGTTCGTTATTGTTAAAAAAGTTAGTATATAACCATATGTACAAAAAAATTAATACATGCTTTTTTTGCCTATCAACTTTCACATTGTTCCAAAAGTGCTCGCGACGACTTTTCTTTATACAAACGCCACACTGTTTAAAAAGAAAACAAAGGGTGTTCAAATGTTAAGTTGATCATTTCTCTAAGTCAATTTTTTCACGCAATCTCTTCGCTGGTGGTTCGACGTCATCCAAAACGGGTAGCTGTATTTTTGTTTCGGAGGCCTCCGATGGCTAGAATCAATGTCAATATAAATTTTCTTGATAGTTAATGGTTTCTCTCTAGGTTTCACTTTCTTGCAAAATATTCCACGAAACATCAAGCGACCTCTCAATTGACAAAAAATGAATATACAGGATGCCCCAAGATTCTGGCGTCGAAAGATACTTAACTATGCATTTCTCAAAAAACTTGTTATTTATGGGCGTGGTCAAACGGAATGGTATAGTTTTATTTGTGTCATTCACATTCCAGTTCATAGCCACCCTTGATTTTCATACATCAAAGTAGTGATAGAGCTTTGCTGATAAAAACGACTGAAATCTCGCGTTTTTTTTTAATTTTTGGTATAGAAAGTAATTGCGATTGAATAGTTTCCATTTCTCGATTGAATAGTGTTAATTATAGGGTTCCTTTTGACACCTAATATCAAAGTTAACTTTTGATCTATTTCAAAGATGAGTTAGAACGGGTAATCTATCCCCTATTTGTCAAAAACAAAATGGCTCTGCTATTTCAATTTGGTGTGCATCACAAATTAATATTTCTCAGGTTTTAAGGTTATGTTCGGGGTTTCTGGTACATCCTGTATAAGAGAAATTATTTTTATTGTAAGCCTATCTGACAACTTTTAATATTAACAAGTTTTTCAAGAAGTGTAGGGTTAATGAGGTTCCGACGCCAGAATCTTGGACCAAAGCCTACACCTACACCATGAACAGACATGCTAGATAATGACGACTGTAAAAACATGTGACATACAGGGTGTTCCAGATCGAGTGAGGTGCATGGCTAACTTTGATATTAGTGAAGATAGGTTAGGTTAAATATTTTGCAGTTTTGTGCCGATTATCGTTTAAAAATTTTTGAAACTGATTCATTTCGAATAACATATGCCTTTTTCATTATAAGTTTCACAAAAAATGAAATTCAAAATGGCAACTACTGACATGAATTATACAGGATGTCCTATTTTTGACACTTTTATAGGATCCTTAATTGTTTGTTATTAAAAAAACAAGAAAGAAAAAGAAACTTTGAATATTTTCGCTAGCGTAAGGAATAGAATGACGCTATATTTACTTAGGAAGATATGCACAATGTGTTTTCAGAATTTCCAGTGCAGTACATAAGTCATAATAACGAGCATGATATTATAAGCGCAAGATACGCTTAAATGAACGCCACTAAAGTAGGAATTTCAATCAACAAGATTTTCCGGCAGTTGCTGATGTCATATTCAATCTGCACCTTTATTCAGCATGCTATAGCGCACGGCCTGTATACTGAGCCAGGTAAAAAATTTATCAATTTTTGAAATGGAACACCTTGTAGATCTAGAGTCTAAATAGATGGTCTATTATCTTTTAAAAATATAACACAAGGATATTAAAAAAATTCAAAAACGATTCAACAAACTAAAAAACAATTTAAATTTTTTGAATTTTGAAATTAAA